ATAATAAAATAAAGTCAATGAATATAATGCATTTATTAGACAAAAAATCACCATATATATATATATGTATGTATATATATGTATATGGTGATATATATATATATATATATATATATATATATATATATATTGTGTCTGTGTGTGTTTCCGTAATTATAATTACTGTAGATAACCTTCCGATCAAGGCATTCTCGAGACATTTATTGTCTCCTTTGATCAGAGTAGCAATTTTTACGTTCAAATTGTGTTCAGTCTCGATACGATGGTCAACCAACGTATTTGACCAATTGTTTTGTAAAATATCTCTTTTTTGTGTGAAGCCAGCCATCTGCTTCGGTTTCAAATTTGTCACTGGAATCCGCAAAGACAACATTGTAGACAGTACAAAAAAAAAAAAAATTCAAGCAAGAGGAGTCCGAATTCACCAAAGGTTTCACGCACACACACGCGCGAGCGCGCGCACACACACACACACACACACACACACATACACATACGCACACACATACAAACACACACACATACAAACACACACACACATACACACACACACATATATATTTATATTACAGGTTGAGTATTTTATAACATCAATAATAAAAATTATAAAATAAGTTATTTCCCTTGTGTATTTTTAACGTTAATTTTTAATTTGTCTATAATGAAGAGGTTTTCATGCGCATTTACGAAATAATTCCCAACCAATAATTACATTAATCTTTTGTCTTAGCAATTCACCTCTGAAGTATTGAAACATGAAAGCTTTTGTGTAGCGATTTCAATATATTTTATTATAATCTTGTATAATGAAATAATATACATACATATATATATATATATATATATATATATATAATATGTGTGTGTGTGTGTGTGTGTGTGTGTGTGTGTGTGTGTGTCAAAATGAAAGTCTTAGAAAGTCCTGTTCAAATTTAGCTATATAGGGAAAATAATAATAAGATTTAAAATACACCTCATATTTTATATATTTATATGTAACATTACTTCATATTTGGTGAAACTAACCCACCGTTAAAAATATATATAAGTAAATGAAATAAAATCAGGAACGGCCATGGAGACAATGGTTCTACCAACATATGCCAACCTCGTCATAACATAACTAAAACTAAAAATCTATGAAAGTACCTTAGAATTAAAATAATTCTAATATTTTCTTTCTGAAAACCTACATGTATCATAAATATTGCATATAAATACATAAAACGTCAGGTTTATTTTCAGATCTATATATGCATATGAATTTTCATACATATTTTTCAGATATATATATGCATGCGACCTGCGATCAGATAGAGATCAAATGTGGATTAGGATCCATCGGAAAGAAGGTAAGGATCAAATAAAAAATGTGTCCTTGCTAAGACGATAAACTACATCCGGTGTCCTGGGTAAGACGATAAACTACATCCGGCGTCTTAGGTAAGACGATAAACTACATCCGTCAGCAAGGCCTCTGTTGAGGAGCTTTTGAGGTGTGTGAAACCACCTTAATTGTTGATGTTACCAAGTCCACACTGACCCTGGATGGTAGCATCTGGTAAGGTCCCTACTATGGCCAAATAGTTGATCCCCTAAATGGTGTCAGAACACTATGAAAGTGTAAAAATAAATTTTTAATACCAGCAATAGATTTTTGGAAGAAAAATTATTGCCAGCAATACATTATTATCATTTTTGGAGAAAAAATAAAATATTACGAGCAATAAAATTCCTGTTGGGATTAAATGACCCATTGAGGCTGATATGCCGTAAAACAAATGAACCAATCAAATAAGGAACGTTTATAAATTTAGCATATTGGGCTTTTATTTTTGTGTTCTTTGTCATTGGTTAAGCAGGCCTCATGCGTGTCTGTCCTGTCAAGCAGCGTTACTGCGTATAATTCATGTGTGTATGTGTAGCATCATTCTACTTTATCGGTCCGGGGTTCGGATAATAAATAATGTCCATTCGTTTGTGTGCGTTTGGGCGTCTACTAGGCATTTTATCTATGTTCTGGTAATTTTCCTTATGTTAATTTAATCTCATGTTTTGTGTGAGAGTGAAAGAAGTATCACCAGTTGTAGTTATATATACACACACATATATATATATATATATATATATATATATATATATATATATATATATCCATGCGTCTGAAGTTTTTTATTGCGTACACACACACACACACACACACACACACACACATATATATATATATATATATATATATATATATATATATATATTAAAATAATTGTCGAATTTATATATATATAATTAGACAATTATTTTAATATTTTATTGTTATACGATATTTATGTATGCACAAATATTTAAGTAAATGCCCTGTTTATGATAAACAGTATTAACAACATTTATAGAAATATGCGTCGTCCGACAGAAATCGAACATGTATCCTACGCGGAACCGTCCTAGAGCCTGGCGTGATTTACCAGTTTAGCTACGATGGAGCATCTGGTTAGAAATGTGTATTTTACTGCTTTTAAACTACAAACTTCAAAAAGAAAAAAAAAGAAAAGAAAGCAGTAGAGTCGATCTTGCTAGCCAGACGCTCCTTCGTAGCTAAATTGGTATAGCACGTCATGCTATATGGCGGTTTCGTGTAGGATACAGGTTCCTGTCGGAGGGCGCATATTTTCTATGAAATTTCTCGGACGTTCAGGCCGGTAAATATTATTAATACTGTTTATTATAAACAGAGCATTTACTTAAATATTTGTATATAGATAAATAACGTATAACTATAAAATATATTAAAAGTTATATGTATGTAATGTCTGGCCTCTCGCCTGCGTGTATATCTATCTACTATGGCGCTTAGACAATATTCTGTTGCAGAGGCCTGCTCGGGAACATATATGTTTGTTCAATACCCATATGGTCTAACTATAACCATGCTGAGGTGACTTTATTTACAGTTTCTGGGAGAAAGTGCCTCCTCTGGCGGGATCAACAATTTGAACGAAGCTATTATGTCCAAAGCCTCGTTCACCGTTGCAATATTTCCGAAAACCATTATCACGGATTTTACCTTTATTATTGAAATCGGGATGACGGAACTAGTCTAAAACTGTCGATTTTTTTTCTTTTTTCTTTTCTTTTGCTAACACGAAGTCACAAGCCATCGTGACCGAGGCTTTGGGCGTACTGGCCTGGTTCAAAAACTGTAGATCACGCCAAATGACGCGCACTCTTCAAGAAACTGTAACCTACGCCCGCGCATCATAGCTGCAATATAAACCACATGTGGGCACTATGGACATTAGATAAAACAATGTGCCTGAGAAGGTGTCTGTAACAGGGATTTCTAGTCGTCCGAACATACGGTTGCGTTCGGGAAACGGCTTTTTATTCATTATTTATTTATTATTTATATCCGTGTGTATATAGAGAAATAACATAAGCGGATTTAGGATTAGTGTGTAGCATATTTTTCGGGTCTTCTTTATTTTTATGTGCCGTGTCCGTTTAGGACGTAGGCGATCATGGCTCTCCACTTCTCCCTATCCCTTGTAGCTCTCAATAAGTTTCATGCTTCTGCCAACTCCTCCAGATCACGTTCTGCCATCCACTTGCTTAAACCCGCCATATGTCATGCGTTGCTTTCCCTTGTCTCTCTTTCCCTCTATTCGACCTGTGAGTATCAGATTCTCCAGGCCCTCCTTTCTCATTAAGTGTCCCAGAAATTTCATCTACCTATTCCTCGTGTTAAGTGATATGTCCTGGAAAGGGATATATTTGATCGAAGTAGCTAAGTGGTTAGGCTACTATAACCAAGTAGGTAGCAGTAATCGACTGGTACTCGTCGTAGTCGCAGGTAATAGGTGTAGACCAATAGGATAGCTAATGGCGTAGTCCGATGGGCGTCGTCAGAGACTTAAACTCTGTCGTACCTACACGTCCGTCTGTATTTATGACGGACACCAGCCAATCATATTCCAGTGAGGAGGAACTCAGGTGTATGCATATTCCATTATATCATTAAGTATAAGCTTCCTCCTTGTTTGCATCCTCTTCAAGACCTCATATATTATCTAATAAGGTGACGTTAGATTCACACCGGATTTACAGAATCCCAAGCAAAATCTTAACGAACAGAAGAAACAAAGAAAAGGGCATTGAGCTCTTATGTAATATCAATCCTTTTATATCGTATTCAATGCTGGACGATCTCCTCCATGGTGAAGAAGTGGCTTGAAGCAAGAGAAACGTGGCTCTACAGAAGGATACTGAGAATACCATGGACCGATCATGTGAGTAATGATGAAGTTTTAGAGAAAATGGAGATAAAAGAACACATATACTTAGTATCAGGAAGAGAATTGAACATTCTAAGTCACATAATGAGGAAAGAGAGCTTGGGAAATTTGATACTCATAGGACAGATTGGTGGCAAGATGAACAGAGGTAAGCAGCGCTTAATCTATCTAGCAAGATTGAGTAAATGGATGGTGGCCGGGAGATAACAACATTTATTAAGAACTACAAAGGACATGAAATGGTGGCAGGACATGATCGCCAACGTCTTGAATGAACACAACACATAAAGAAGAAGAAGAAGAAGAAGAAGAAGAAGAAGAAGAAGAATCCCTCTTGAATAATGATTACGAATACGTACATCCGTACATTGCGAATGACACCGTGATTGTTTAACGCTGTGCCTCGTTCTGATTTCGCTTGTAATCATATTATTTCACTTGTGTTCACTGTCTGCCATATTTGATTTTGATTTATTTATTTGCAATTCATCTCCCTACGCCATTACGTCACAGACATATCTGTCTTGTTCAGTTTCTCAGTTACAGCCCTGTTTTCTGTTTATTTTTATTGAATCTGTTTTTTCTTCTTCTTCCTTTATTTTTTAATTTAAGGTTTTTTTTTTAATTTCTTTCTTGGCTGTTTAATACTTTTCCTTTCTTGTCATCATTCCTGAAATATCCCTGATAGGACCGAATTACGTCATGTCTTAATTAAAGATAAACAAGAAGTGTAGAAAAGAAGAAGAAGAAGAAGAAGAAGAAGAAGAAGAAGAAGAAGAAGAAGAAGAAGAAGAAGAAGAAGAAGAAGCAGTGTAGAGAAGAAGAAGTGTAGAGAAGAAGAAGAGCAAGATGGCCAACAACTAAATGAGCAACAGTTATAGAAATGATACCGATACATTTAATGCATTGATGAAAAAGAAAAAGAGTAACAAAAACAATGAGGGTGAGGAGAAGGAGGAGGAGGAAAAAGAGGGGGAGAGCGGAAAAAATAAGATGTGGAAGAGAATGAAAAGAATAAGCAAATGAAATAAATAGAAGAGGAGGATGAGGAGTTAGAGTAGAAAGAGGGGAGGGACAGAAGAAAACAGTACGAGAAAGGGGAAATGTAGAAGATGAAAATGAAAGACACTAGAGGAGAAAGTGGAAAAGAACAAAAGTAGGACGAAAAGAAGAAAATAATGAAAATGAAGAGGAAGACGAAGAAGAGGAAGAAGAGGAGGGCAAAGAAGCAGAAGGTAAAAAAGAAAAGAAAGAAGAAGACGAAGAAGATAGAAAAGGAGGAGGAAGAAGACGACAGAGATGAAGAAATAAGACAAGGAGTAAAAGAAGGAGGAGAAGAAGAAAAACAAGTCTTTATTAGGTGGGCACTAATAATAAAACAAAGAGATTGAGAAACAAAGTTACTAAAAATGAAAATAAAAAAAGATAGAAAGAATGGCTGAAAAGAAAGAAAGAAAGAAAGAAAGAAAGAATGGATGAAAAGAAAGATAGAAAGAAAGAATAAATGAAAAGGAAGACAGAAAGAGTAGATGAAAAGAAAAAAAGAAAGAATGGATGAAAAGAAAGAAAGAGAAAGAATGCTTGAATGAAAGAAAGAAAGAAAGAAAGAATTGATGAAAAGAAAGAAAGAACGAAAGAAAGAAAGAAAGAAAGAAAGAAAGAAAGAAAGACAGAAAGAATGGCTGAAAAGAAAGAAAGAACGAAAGAAAGAAAGAAAGAAAGAAAGAAAGAAAGAAAGAAAGAAAGACAGAAAGAATGGCTGAAAAGAAAGAAAGAACGAAAGAAAGAAAGAAAGAAAGAAAGACAGAAAGAATGGATGAAAAGAAAGAAAGAAAGAAAGACAGAAAGAATGGATGAAAAGAAAGAAAGATAGAAAGAATGGCTGAAAAGAAAGAAAGAATGGCTGAAAAGAAAGAAAGAAAGAAAGAAAGAAAGAAAGAAAGAAAGAAGGAAAGAAAGAAGGAAAGAAAGAAAGAAAGAAAGAATGGATGGATGAAAAGAAAGAAAGACAGAAAGAATGGATGAAAAGAAAGAAAGAATTAATGTAAAGAAAAAAGACAGAAAGAATGGACGAAAAGAAAGAAAGAAAGAATTGATGAAAAGAAAGAAAGAGAAAGAATGGCTGAAAAGAAAGACAGAAAGAATTGATGAAAAGAAAGAAAGATAGAAAGAATGGCTGAAAAGAAAGAAAGTAAGAAAGAAAGAATGGATGAAAAGAAAGAAAGACAGAAAGAATGGATGAAAAGAAAGAAAGAAAGACAGAAAGAATGGATGAAAAGAAAGAAAGATAGAAAGAATGGCTGAAAAGAAAGAAAGAAAGAAAGAATGGATGAAAAGAAAGAAAGAAAGATAGAAAGAATGGCTGAAAAGAAAGAAAGAAAGAAAGAAAGAATGGATGAAAAGAAAGAAAGAAAGAATGGCTGAAAAGAAAGAAAGAACTGATGAAAACAAAGAAAGAATGGATGAAAAGAAACAGAGAAATCATTAAAGTTAAGAAATAAAAGAGATCGAAGCTGCCATAGACAAAGGTGAAATACGAAATATTTTTATACGAAAATAATACAATAAACTAATTATGCATACAATACCTTTATTCTGTTATTATGGCTTTATTCTGTTATTATGGCTTTATTCTATTATTATGGTTTTATTGCTTTTATATTTTTATTCTGTTATTAACGATTATATTAACCCTGAGCATTAACATTATCCTTTTGCTGATTTTCAATTAATTTCTATTGTAAAACAACTGCAAACGCCTTTACGCTCAACAATTAAATTTAATTTTTGGCTTCCGATGTATTTAGGTGTTAAGCTTAGAAAAACTCATTCTACTTTTTATCGCATATATTTTAATAATTTTGAATTAACCTCCGTTATATTAGCTGTAATATTGTGAGGGAAGGCGATATGTTTGAACCTTCCTGGAAGCAAATTTAATAGAGAAGAATTCGACGTTCGTGAACATTCGATGCATGTTTAGTTTTCATGAATGTCTGCCTCTTTTAATCAAAACCGCATTTTTACATAAAGCTATGACCAGAGTTCATTTTGTGATCATTTATCTTCAATCATGTTAAAGAATCCTTTACGAACAGACATATATAAAATAGTGTATACTGCACGAGTTTCAAAATGGTTCTTCAGCAACGAAACTAGCAAGGGATATTTCGTTCTGTGGAAACGAAGCTTCGATTCTCCGGACATGCCGACTATGGTCTAACACAAGGGTCGGCAACCCCCGGCACCCGGACCACATTTGTTCGATCGGTGAAGGTTTTTTTTTTTTTTTTTGGTCAGGCCCGCCAGTTTAATATCTAGACACTAATTATCTAATTAATTTGTGAAGTAAGTAGCATAAAAATATCAGTCAATTGCAGTTAATCGACGAATTTTTAAATCAAAATTTAATTCCGAACTAACTGCTGACTTCTACAGGAAGTATATTTTGACAAGCGGAAAATTTAAAAACCTCTTGTATAATGCGAAAATGATGGTATCATGATCTGGAAGTGCATATGCATAGGAACAATTGCCTCTTTAATAATTTCGTTTGTAGTAAAAGAATTTGCATTTTTTGTTGTTTGTGTTGTTATTCTGTTATTCCTGCAGTAAAATAAGGAACGTTGTTTAAATAATATAACATCAACTTGGTTGTTTTTTTTCTTTAAATTTCCAGATCAAGGCAGCTTTCTGGCTAGAGCAGTCAGAAGCCGAGACAGTTTACTACAATTAATATCATAGCCCTCCTCCAAGACGATGAATAGCTTTCTGGACCTTTCCCTCCAAAAGGTTGCCGACCCCTGGTCTAACCAGTTTCGATCGGAAAAAGTGTACATCCCTGTGTACGTGTGTGAGTTGCAGCAGTCAGAAACTGCTAGGGTGCAAGTAGAATGAATCAAAACAAGAAACAAGCAGATACTCTGTCTTATTAATTTAATATAATGAAAACGACGCTTTTCTAGTTATTACAGAGCCTTAAGACAGTTGGCAGCTCCGGCAAGTTGTTAGAAAAAAAAGAAAGATGAAGATAATCGTTTATTGTAGCCCGTGTTCTTCAAAAATTAGCATGTGAAATTAATTTAATGAAATATGCGACTAACTCGTCAGCGAATCATCTTCCTGAGGTCTTCAACTTGCTTGTTTACAAAAAAAAGAAAGAAAGAAAGAAAGAAAGAAAGAAAGAAGCAAAAATTTAAACCATGACTTTTAGCTGGTTTTGAACATATATATCTAGAACGACTGCTGTTAGTGGTCAATATTGACTGCTACTAAATCTGATGCCATGATGGTGTTGAACCCACAAGAGCCACCTTGGCCCTCCAGATCCTGCGGCCTTTGCAGAACAACGGAAGTTCCTCCAACGCCAAGGTTAGCTCGCTGGACGTCCTGTCGGGCGACATCTTTCCAGCTGCTGCGCGGTCTACCGTGCGGTTGTCTCCATTTTGCCGATCGATGTTGCGGGGGATGCTCAGCTGGACAGTCCTCCAGCGGAGATCCTTACTGGATACATGATCGGACCAGTGCCTACGCTCGATGGTCTTGAGGACGCGGGATTCGAAACCATGAGAGACCACATATCAGCTTGCTAACCATTACACCACCTCGAGGTGCCCATAGTGATTTTCAAAGCGTAGCTTAGATGTGGCACAAGGCCGAAAGTATGAGGAACACAGTGAGGATCGAACTCACTGCCAATTTGTAACTGTTCTAGCGAGACAAGCTTGCTAACCATTACACTACCTTGAGGTGCCCAACAAGGTCTCTGATCAGGAGGTTTTGAGAAGCTTGGTACCACCTCTTAATTGCTGTTGTTCCCAGGTCCACCCTGATCCAGAGTGGTAGCACCTTTTAGGGTCACAGCTATCGGCAAATAGTTAACCCCTAAAATGGAGCCGAAACATTATGAAAGTGTAAAAATAGGTTTAATACTAGCAATACCTTTTTTAGAAAATTATTACCAGTAATGAATTTTTTAAGGAAAAATATTACCAGCAATATATTCTTGGAAAATAAAATATTAGTAGCAATAGTTTTTTGAAAAAAAATTAAAAATTACATGCATGCATTTTTGAAAAAAAATATTACAAGCAATAAAGATCTTGTCGGCATTAAATAGCCCATTGAGGTTGATATGCCGTAAAACAAAACAAAGCAAAGCAAACTCATATATACTTAGATAGATAGATAGATAGATAGATAGATAGATAGATAGATAGATAGATAGATAATGAACAGAATGAGATAGATAGATAGATAGATAGATAGATAGATAGATAGATAGATAGATAATGAACAGAATGAGATAGATAGATAGATAGATAGATAGATAGATAGATAGATAGATAGATAGATAGATAGATAAAAAATATTACCAGCAATAAAAATTTTGTCGGCATTAAATAATTTCTTGAGGTTGATATGCCGTAAAACAAACCAAACCAATATATACTAAGATAGATAGATAGATAGATAGATAGATAGATAGATACGAATAGACTTAGATAGATAGATAGATAGATAGATAGATAGATAGATAGATAGATAGATAGATATGAATGGACTGACATAGAGAGGTCAAGATTTAATTAGCTAATGAAATTTCAGAGTTCGGACGGAGGTGTTTGAAGTATAGTGCGGAAGTAGATTAACGTTGTGAATATGGCAATGAAGATGAGGATGACAGCCTGAATAATGTAAATAATGCAAATAATCACAATACCTCACCTCAGAGATATAGACAGATAGAGAGATGGATATGAACATAAATAGAGAGAGAAATAGACTGATCGATATGAATAGAATACGTAAAATGGAATAAAGAGTTCAGTTCGAAATTCCAATCACCTGAAGAAGGCCGGACAGTGCAAGGGTCGAAACGTTGTGAATATGGAAATGAAGATGAGGATAACAATCAGAATAATGTAAATATAGTGCGGAAGTAGACTTTTGAAGAAACAAGAGATAAAACTCCACTTCCTGTTCAAAAGACCTTGGAGGTGTATGAACCGGACGATAGGTGAACCTATCTACTCCTAAGTTCAGCACGCAAAGAAAGAGAGAGATGAGACGTGTATAAACTATAATTTTTAATTTCAGTTGGATTCATGCCTTTCCCAAGGGTATTAGCGCGTAAGTGAATCTAATGAACCGGACTTGAAATCGAACACGGAACTCCGATTTACGAGTCTCTATGGGTTACACCATCTGCACATTCATTATAGTGTCACAGAGGCATTTTTTAAAAAAATAATAATGGCTAAAACTACAGTAATACAGATCACTTCCTGTCTAACTTGTAGTTTTTTTTTTTCTAAACATAAATGATATTCCGATAAAGAGCAATAAAATAAAATGAATAAGTAATTTGTAAATAATATTTCAGAGTTCAGGCGGAGACGTTAGAAGTATATCTATGAAGTAGACTTTAGAAGGGACCGAAAACCCAATCCTAAACTGGGAATAAAGGATGTATCTCTATTCTTATTTAAGATACCAGGAAGAAGTCCGAACCGGACGATAGGCAAATCTATCTACTCCTATTCGTAGAGGAAAAAAATAATTACAGAATAAAATTCCAGATTTCAGACAGAGACGTCAGAAGTACAGAGATGAATGAACCGGAAACTTAATCCTAAACAGGAAACAAGGGATAAACCTCTACTCCTGTTCACAAAAATCAGGGAGGGTATGAACTGGACGATAGGCGTGCCTATCAACTCCAACTGGGGAAAGATAAAAACATCCTAGGATTATGAACATTATTATTGACGATGGACAAAGATATGCATAATGGACACTTGCGTCCCGGAAATTTGAGTTCTAAAAAATTACGTCCCTAGCCAAAATTTAAATTATAAAAAAATCGGCAACATCAAAAAGTCCATTCGAATAATTACGATAAAGGTATTTATACAGAAGGCACAGAGAAACTACATTACGGCGGTGAGAAAGTAACTAAAAGCGAGATGCCAGGTCATGATCAATAACATTGCAGATTCTTCTTTGGATTTCATCAAGAATCTCTAAATATATAACAGGAGCCCCAGAAAGGTACAAAGCTACTCGCAGATGGTCTGGAAAAACATTACTATATAGTTAATAAGTGTTTATTAAAAAGTTTTCTTTTTGTATCGTAAATAATTTATTCCGCTTTAGTTAATTAATGTTTAATAAAACAATTAATTTCTTCAGTGTATCGTAAATCTAGCAAAATGCCAGATGGTATAGTGCCTCCGCTGTTCATCTTGAGGTTCTTGATAAAATGCAAAGACGGATATGCAATGTGATAAGTCCTCACCTGGCATCTCGTCTACAGTCACTTGCTCATAGACGTGCTGTGGCTTCTCTCTGTATTTTCTGCAAATATTTTCATGGCAATTGCTCTGACGAGCTACTTTCACTGGTACCCAAATTGCATGAATTTGAACGTGCTACTAGATTGGCATCTCGGTCCCACCTTTTCATCGTCGAAACAGTTAAATGTAACCGCCCCTTCTACTCCAACACTTTCTTCTCTCAATTTTCCCGACAGCGGGACGCCCTTCCCTTTACTTGCTTCAACGATAACAATAATTTTCAAATATTCAAATATAATGTCAATCGATATCTTCTGATGGCTTGATCTTGTTCCCTGTCCTTCTCTTTATCCTTTCCTCAAACACCCCTCTTTACTCTTCCTCCCAATCTCTGTAACCCCTTGCGTGCTAGTGTCACTTCCGCCTTGCTTTGGCTGAAATGCTTAAAAAAAAATAAATAAAAATAATATGTAGGAACAGTGGGATGCTTTTTATAATGCTCCTCAATTTTGTTGATTCCTATTGATAATATTGCTGTATAGCAGTGGTTCCAACCGATTTTGGGCCATTCCCTCCTTTGGTATTTCTAAAATTCTGGTGCCTCACTGTAATATTTAATTCTTTCATATTCAAATTTTTACTACAATTCACGTGATGGAAGTAAACTGAATGCTCACACGCGCTGATTGGCCGACAAAAAAGGGGCTCTTCCAGCGACTTGCATTCCGCGGTCTCCTCACGCTCTGATTGGCCGACAAAAAAAAAGTGAGCTTTTCCAGCGACATGCATCGCGCCCTCTTCTCACGCTCTGATTGGCCGGCCAAAAAATAGCTCTTCCAGTGACATGCATTCCGCCGTCTCCTAACGCTCTGATTGGCCGACAAAAAAATGGGCTCTTCCAGCGACATGCATCGCGCCCTCTTCTCACGCTCTGATTGGCCGGCCAAAAAATACCTCTTCCAGCGACAGGCATTCCGCCGTCTCCTCACGCTCTGATTGGCCGACAAAAAAATGGGCTCTTCCAGCGACATTCATCACGCCCTCTCCTCTCGCTCTGATTGGCCGGCAAAAATATAGGCTCTTCCAGCGACATGCATCACGCCCTCTCCTTTGTTGACCGAGACAGGCAAGAGTTGGGAGACGGGAAATATCCTGTATGCCAATTACACATGGACATACATAAAAAAAAATATTTTTATATATGGATACTGTATATGCACCGTATGTATTAAAATGCATTAACATTAACACTCACGCTCGGAATCACTAGAAAACAATTCACTGTTAAAAACTCATTCTCGAATTGCCCCCTTATTTGAATAGTAAGCCGAAGGGTTCACATCCTACGCATGCCCAGCAAAACATTACCATGTCCCACCAGAGAGTGTGATCATTGCTGTAGACTATAAATTAATTTACTAGAATTAAAATTCATTTGATACTTAACCCTGTGAGGCAACATTTAATTTATATTGCAGTTTATCTTGTAAAATTATTTTAAGAATATATAAAGGATAATTATAAGATAAAATAACGCCAGTAAATTTTAAAGAATCTAATAAATAAATATAAGTAAACAGAGGAAAACGGAATAAGTAACACAGCTGAAATATATACGGTACAAATATATATATATATATAATTCAAAAGGGGGGTGGCGTTGGGAAAGTAACACTTCGGTGATGTAAACACGTGTGAAGCAAGATGAAAGCAAATTGTATTTGTAGATTTGCTATTGATGGAGCAAGACAAAGAAAGGATCCCGGGTACGGGAGACAGGTTGAAGGAGCTTAGCCGTACCCGTTAAGGTTAGCCCAATGTAGCGTGAGAATGTAGGCCTTACCAGGTCTATAACGGTCATCGGAGATGCATGAATTTTTAACCCCCAACCCAGAAAACATTGCGTGTGAATCGTGCAATCGATCAGCAAGAATACATGGTTATTACTATTATAATAACTAGCAGTTCATATATATATATATATATATATATATATTACTGTATTCAATAAGTAAAAATCATAAATTGTAAAAGATTATTATTACAGAAAGGCTACTAAATGAATAAGATTTGTTACATCATAATTAATAAACCCAAATAAAGTTAATATTTTTTATATTAGAAACAACGAGTGGAAAATATATTCAAATCAGAATTCTAATTATGAATCACCACAAGCAAAATATGCAATTTTTTTTACTGTATTCAATAAGTGAAAAGCATAAATTGTAAAACTAAAAGTTTACAGAAAGGCTACCCACATTTTTCAACCGATTTCAACAAAACTTCACTTTTTTTTTGGCATGTAGTGTTTCTTATTGTCTTGCACACTTTTTTCCTTATTTTTACATTCAGAATGCTTTAAAAATTCTATTTATAAGACAATTGTTTATAATAAAATTCTATTCAATCGGTAGAGACTTATAACGATTGAAAACAATATTTTTGTTTGAGTTTGGGTTTGACCAATTCGTAAAAAAAACAAACTAATTAAGACATGCGTGTCCGTCAACCTTAAGCAATAATCTTTGTCAATTTTATTTTTCAGTCTTTATGATGGTGGATACTTGATCTATCTCTTACTGTTATATCCCCGGGCAACGCCGGGCATTACTACTAGTATCTATTAAAATGAGATGTCAGTGTCATTTTAATTTTTGCGCAATAGATTAAATTTTTTATTGGGTTTTCCTAATGTCTTTATTTTTTTTCCGTTTAGACGGGGCAAGTGTCTGTAGAATTTTAAGAAAATTAGAAAATTCAATAAAAAATACATAAAATTTTCTCAAATATAAAGTATGGCCCGAAAATCATGTCACCCCTTACATAATACAATTTTCTATTTCAGATGGCGGACACGAACTTCTCGAATAGAGGAAGTGACGTCAAGATTTCCGGACCACCGTGTACATTTTATATATATATATATATATATATATATATATATATATATATATTATAAAATATGGGCGAAGTCCGACAATTATTTTAAGACATTTTTAAGTTTATACATTCTTTTTATAGGCCCGACTATTTAAGTAAATGCTCTATGGCCCAATCGGTTAACGCACGTATAGGATACAGGTTCGATTCCTGTCGGAGGACGAATATTTTTATGAAAATTTCTCGGACATTCAGGCCGGTAAATGTTGTTAATGCTGTTTATTGTAAACAGTGCATTTACTTAAATATTCGTATCTATAAAAAGAATGTATATATAAAAAAAAATGTATAAACATGAAAATGTCTTCAAATAATTGTTTGTCTTTGTCCATTATATATATATATATATATATATATATATATATATTGAACAATAAGAAAATAAAAAATTAAAATCTTTAGACACACTGGGTTGTAGATTAATATTCTTTCGTTTATTTTTATTATTATTCCATTTAGATTCCTCGACTAGTTTCGACCGAAATGGCCATCATCGGGAGGAGAATATATATATATATATATATATATATATATATATATATATATATATATATAATTCTTTTCCTCGTCTTTTTTAACTTCAACCTGTTATTTTCCTTTTTCTGTCTCTTTTTTTTTCCGTTTCAAAATTTCGCTCAAACTTTTTTATTTAACATTCTGGTACCCTCAAACTTATACCTGCTTGTTCCCCCTTAACTACTACTACTAATACTATTGCTACTACAACTACTCCTACTAATAGTACTGCTACTCTCGCCGTCCCTACACCCAGTCCTATCAACCCTTAACTTTCCCACAGCTCACACCTGCAATTCGCCACCCATCCACCCCAGACATTCCACCCCCACATTTACCTCTCCATCATTAGCTATCTCAAGTTAATTTTACAATCTTCAATCACTGCCATGTGAATACCCCCGTCACCTCGACATCTCCATATCCAGCCTACCCTGATCAGCCACCCCAACGCCAATGACGTCTCGCACATCTTAACTCAACTTTCTCTTGTAGTCCCCTTCCTTTCCCAACGGGCTCCTGACTCGTAGTAGCGGGCTTAGAGGTGTTTGGAGGGGAGCCATTAATTAATATTTAGTCTTCAAAAAGACTAATCACTCCAAACCCTGCCCTCAACTCGGCTGACCACTTGACTAATGTCGATACCTCAATCTCAGCTCAGCAATTCACCTTACAACAAACACTTTTATCTTCTTAATCAGCGACTTACCAGCACCTAATCTCTCATGTTGCTAACCACCGATCGTCGTAACGATTTTATAGACTCCGGGTCATTTTCTTAATCTATTTATCCCTTTAATGCTTGGTCGAATGTTTTAACTATAGTCTCTTCGTATGTATGTATGAATGTATCGATCGATCTGTCGATAGATCGGTCGATCGGACTCTGTCTATCTATTTATCCATCTCAATCAGTGAAACTATCTACCTATCTATTGGCTGATCGGTATCTATCAATTGATCGATATCTATCTATCTATCTATCTATCTATCTATCTACATCAGTCACTCTATCTATCTATCTATCTATCTATCTATCTATCTCATTCAATTACTATCAATCTGTATATCTATGTCAGTCTGTTCATGTCTATCTATCTATCTCGATGACTCAATCTCTCTATCTATCTATCCATCTATCATCGTCACTCAATTATGTATCTGAATTTGTTCGAATCTATCTCAGTCTGTTCGAATTTTTTTATCTATCTATCTATCTATCTATCTATCTATCTCAGTGTGTTAATTTTTTATCTATCTATCTCAGTGTGTTAATTTTTATCTATCTATCTATCTATCTATCTATCTATCGCAGTGTGTTAATTTTTTATCTATCTATCTCAGTGTGTTAATTTTTTATCTATCTATCTATCTATCTATCTATCTATCTATCTATCTATCGCAGTGTGTTAATTTTATCTATCTATCTATCTCATCCTGTCTGTGTTTCTCTCCTTTATCTATCTATCTATCTATCTTCTATCTATCTATCTATCTATCGCATGTGTTAATTTTATCTATCTATCTATCTCATCCTGTCTGTGTTTCTCTCCTTTTATCTATCTATCTATCTATCTATCTATCTATCTATCTATCTATCTATCTATCGCAGTGTGTTAATTTTTATCTATCTATCTATCTCATCCTGTCTGTGTTTCTCTCCTTTTATCTATCTATCTATCTATCTATCTATCTATCTATCTATCTATCTATCGCAGTGTGTTAATTTTTATCTATCTATCTATCTCATCCTGTCTGTGTTTCTCTCCTTTTATCTATCTATCTATCTATCTATCTATCTATCTATCTATCTATCTATCTATCTCAATTGTTCATATCTATCTATCTATCTATCTATCTATCTATCTATCTATCTATCTATCTATCTATCTATCTGTTCATATCTAGATATCTAGTTAGATAGATGAACCTGTTTCTGTATCTATATATCTTTCTCTCTCTACACTTTATAGGTTTTTTCCACCCTCACTCTTTCTTCATCTATCTTAATTTCTATGTCTCTATGATTTTGTTCACATCTCTTCCCTGCCTCTCTCTCTCTCTCTCTCTCTCTATATATATATATATATATATATATATATATATATATATATATATATATACACACACACACGTACAGACACATACACACAGACACACACGCATACACACACATACATATATAGATACATACATATAATACATAATGGAGCTATGATCAGATAGGTGTAACGTAAGCCGTCTGGATAAGCATGTGGTTGTGTAACCGATGTAATTATTTAAGAGTCCGGTTTGATTAAGGACACAGTTCCTTAAGGGGCATTTGAACTCATAGATAATGTTCGTTCTTTTTTAATATTGACTTAGTTGGTGGGTTGTTATTTTTGAGGATAAGGTTAACGTCTTAAATTTTTGTGTTGACTATCGTTATTACGTACTTTGCGGAGAAATAGTCTAATTTGGTGGTCTATAAGGTGGTTATGGGAAGCCGCTACTGACTAGTGTTTGTTTAACATTATTAAGATCTTTGAGGAAGATATATATATATATATATATATATATATATATATATATATATATATATATATATATATAGAGAGAGAGAGAGAGAGAGAGAGAGAGAGAGAATAGAAAAGTTCAGAGCAGATAACATTAGAAAGATTTTAGAGTCCCATGAAAATAAGTGGATACAACGTCTAAAAGCACAATATCCAACAGGGCTAAACCATAAATTTAACAATATAGATAGTACTAATATATAACTCAACAAATCAAAACCTACCCATATTTCTCACCCACACAAGACAGACATGCTTACGGAGGTGTGGAGGCCTCACACTTATACACCCACCCCACACGAATATACACACTTACACACATCATACTCACTCACTCCCTAATGAGCCAAATGATAACACCCACCCACAGCAATACACACGATTACAAATATCATACTCACTCACTCCTTAAGAACCAAATAACACACACACAAACACTAAACAGAGACACATCCCCTCACCAGGTCCAATAATACTGTCAAACTGACCACGGGAATTCAGAGAAGCATAGATCCATCCAGCTCTTATCACAAATAACAACTTAAAAGAGACTGTTTGACCAACACAAGGAATGTTAAAAGATTCATGTTAAAAAGATAAAAAAATAAAAAGCAAATGAAAACTACAGACAAAAGTACATTTTCTCCAGCAAGACATTCATTTCTGTAGTTTACTGCTACCAGCAAGCAGAAATATTTCTCCTCCCGATGATGGCCATTTTGGACGAAACTAGTCGAGGAATCTAAATGAAATAATAATAATAAAAAACAAACAAACAAAAAACGAAAGAATATTAATCTAAAAACCAGTGTGTCTGAAGATCTTAATTTTTTAATATTTTTTTTATTGTTCAATATGTATATATATATATATATGGGAAGACAATATATAGAGAGAGTTTTATGTCAGCAACTATTTTGGGGAAAACTTTCTCAAAGTAGAATTGTTTTGCAACTGATGCGTTTCATTCTTTAGAACATTATCAAACTAAAATGATATTTACGCTGATGCCACTACACATGCGCACAAAGAGAGCACGCTGAGAATTTTAAATTTGAATTCAGATATTTTTTTTTACATCCAGTCATACCTCACTCTACATCGTTAATTTGTTCCAGTGGTCATGATTTAGATCGAAAAACGACTTAAGTCGAAATAACCACGCTATAAACCGAAAATAAGCACACCCCACTGCCTATTACAGTTATTTATGAGATAAATTATTATTCTGAATAAAATAATTAATTTCCACCTTATCTCCCAGCGATATAGCCTTACGCTTAACTGGGACTTTTCTTTGGAGGCATGGGCAAAATATATTCTAAATCACAACTGAAGTGCAATTGAAAGAACGTCAACGGCAGAGCGAAGATGTAGATAATAGATTGAATTTAAAATCGATGTTGGAGCATGAAACAACGCACGAACGCCGCCTGTCGGTAGGAATTTGAGATCTGAATACCTGCTGAACATACTTTATTATGCTATGTTTTGTTTTTGATGATTTTATGATCTATATATATATATTTATATATATTAAGAAATGGACAAGGTCCGACAATTTATTTATTAAAGACATTTTTATGTTTAACGTTGTTATTTATAGATACAGAGCATTTGCTTAAATACTTGTATCTATAAATAACAACTTTAAACATAAAAATGTCTTTAATAAATATATTTATATATATATATATATATAAAGGAAATATGTTGTAGTGGTTCCAACGAGAGAAAAGTATGTATATTAAAAAGAAGAGGGGTGCCGCAAACGTTTTTGGTTGTAATGTGGATTTATTGAGAAAAAATATTATACTTTGTTTTACATAATTTCACGACACGTGTTTCTGGTAAAAAAACATTCACAATAAACAAAAACTTAAACTGCAACTCCAAAAATGTAGTTTATGCACTTAAATGCACAAAATGTAAGAAGTCATATATAGGCATCAGCCAACAACTGAACAACAGGGTCTCCCTACACAAAAGCAATATAAAATTGACAGACAACAGAAAACTTTTTGTATCACAACACATTTTCAAATGTAACCAGGGTAAGTTTAATATCATGCCGATATATCAAACAGACAATTACTCGTATCTACAAATACAGGAAAAAAAAATTTTATAGACAAATTCAAACCCGAACTGAATAGATCGTAACCCCCCCAAAAAAAAAAAAAAACATGCACACAGGGTGACCAAATACAATGATCGCTCACATACATGGACGCACACTCATATACGGGAGACACGAGGAGATATATATATATGTGTATGTACACATACATACATTTATGTATGTATATGCGGATGTTGACAACTTAAGAAGTACGTGTGTGTGTGTGTGTGTGTGTGTGTGTGTGTGTGTGAGTGTGTATGTATGTGTGTGTGTGTATGTGTGTGTACTGGTTCCATGTAGCTTGATAAATATGTGTGTATATGTGTGTGTACTGACTACTTGTGGTGGGATAGTGTGTATGTGCGTATGTGTGTGTATGCGTGTATAAGTACAAATAAGTTTACGAATTCTCGTAGTAAGGAAATATACGCACGCATATATACACGCATGCTGACAGGAACACGCCAAAATAGAAACAGATCCAAGAGCACATAGAGGTCACTAAAACATTAAAAGATTAAATGCCGACAACTACTCGCTGGACAAACCTTAATTGTTTTATGACCCTTCACGCAGAACTCTTCATTGACAATTCTAGAAAGAAAATTCGGATTGCCAACACACAAACAGAATGTCTCATATCAAGAATATTCCACATTGAACATGAAGAAAAATTAATTATTTTAATAATATGTAAAAATCTCCACTTTCACCTGAAGACGGTTTGCGAGACCAGACCAGAAACACGTGTCGTGAAATTATGTAAAACAAAGTATAATATTTTTCTCAATAAATCCACATTACAACCAAAAACGTTTGCGGCACCCCCTTCTTTTTTTATATATATATATATATATATATATATATATATAGAGAGAGAGAGAGAGAGAGAACGGTGTAGCGAAAAAAACATATCTATATTTTATAGATTCTATTTGAATCGGCCATACTTTATTGCTTTTTTTCCCATTAAATGTTCTTAATCAGAATAGTTATATATATATATATATATATATATATATATATATATATATATATATATATATATATATATATATAAATTAATTGATTTAAAATATGTTTTTTTAAATCAATTAATTTATAATATTAATGCTCTGTAAATTTACATTGAGCACTATTTTGTAAAAATAAAAATATCTATAAGAACACCGGATTATATATCTTACTGTTCTTTATATATATATATATATATATATATATATATATATATATATATATATATATGTCTGTGTGTGTGTAGTATAGTTAATATTATTTTAAAATTTATTTTATATATGATTTTATATGTGCTTATTGATACTTTGCTATTTTGACGTTTTAATCTTTTTAACGGCCGACGTAAACTCGAGTAAAACGACGTAAGGCGAGTTTTATTCTTACATATAATATTTAAGAAAAACAGACTTATCTTCGAAAACGACTTAACTTGAAACGACTTAAGTCGAGGTATTACTGTACGTTTAATGTTTCCCGTGACAGTATTATCGAATCCAGCCAAGGACGAAATCGAGGTGCCAGGTCAGGACCAATAACACTGCAGATTCTTCATTAGATTTTATCAAGAATCTCTAAATATATCTTTATTTTAATCTGTTAGCTTGAAATCAAAACTAAAATAGAAGCTTCAAGAAAGATTTTTCATTTGTCTTTATTGTTATTTCAGTGTTTTGATGTTTCTGACATTTTTAACGGCCGACGTAAACTCGAGTAAAATGACCTAAGGCGAGTTTTATTTTTTCATATGATATTTAAGAGAAAAACCGACGTATCTTCGAAAATGTCGTAACTCGAAACGACTTAAGTCGAGATATCACTGTATATGCTTTGGGTATATAGTTTAGCCGATTTCGTCTCGTTTCTTTTCCTTTTAGTTTATGCTCCCATCGCTTCCATTATTAAATATCCCACATTGTAATAATAGAAGATTTTACAAGAATGGCGTAACGTTCCCTGATTTCCACTATTTTACTGTGGATAATTTAGCGATTAAAGCACTTTCTATACAATTTCGCTTTTAATTAGAGTAGTATGTTTTAAATAAAAAATTATGATCAGTATTATGAGCAACTTATCTATTGAGTGTGTTGTTTTGTAAAAATCCCTTTTGCATTCGTATAATATTTTATTTAAACGTAACAGATACCGAGAGATTTTTTCCCGATCACTTGACCTCTTCAAGTCTATCATTCCTACAGGCATACATGAAC